AGCCTTTAAGTCTCGATAGCCGGGCACCATCAGCCTTCTTCACCACACTTATCATGCACACATTCGTCTTCAGCGTTTATGTGGGGAAGGTGGTCACACTGATGGTTTTTGTTCTTTGGTGTCTGCTACCTGTTCCCTTCAACACCTCGTGTTCTTTTGGCAGCCTGTGATACATTCATGGACTCTAATTCAGCACCATAATTCAGATGCATCATTTTTTTTCATTCTTCCTTATTCATTGTCCAACTTTCCTATTCATATGAGATGATAGAAATACCGTTGCATTGTCGGGTGTGCCTTAGTCCTCAAAGTACATCCTTGCCTTCAATTCTTTAAAGAGGTCTTCTGCAGCAGATTTACCCAGTGCAATGCGCCTTTTGATCTCTTGACTGCTGCTCCCATGAGCATTGCTTGTAGACCTAAGCAAGACAAAATCTTTGACAATTTCAATTATTTCTCCATTTATCATGGTACCACCTGTTGATCCAGTTTTAAACATATTGGTTTTCTGTATATTGAGTTTCAATCCATACTGAAGACTACCATTCTTGATATTCATCAGCAATTGTTTCAAGTCCTCACTTTCAGCAAGCCAAGTTGTCTCATCTGCATATCTCAGGTTGCTAGTAAGCCTTCCTCCAATCCCAGTGCCACATACTTCTTCATATAATCCAACTTCTCTGATTATTTGCTCAGCATACAGATTGAACAAGTCTGGTAAGAGGATTCAACCCTTTCTTGATTTTAAGCCATCCTATTCCCTTGTTCCATTGATACAACTGCCTTTTGATTCCTGTACCGTTGCTGCATGAGCACAGTTAAGTTTTATGGAATTTCCATCCTTCCCAAGCCTGTCAATTATTTGTTTTAGTCTATATAGTAGAATGCTTTTTCATAGTCAATAAAACACAAGTAAACATCTTTCTGGAATTCTCTACTTTCGGGTAATATACATCTGATTTCAGCCATGGCATTCTTTGTTCCATGTCCTTCTGAATCCAGCCTGAATTTCTTTCAGCTCACTGAAAACTTAGTTGAATGGTCTTCATCAAAATTTTACTTGTATGTGACATTGATAACATGTTCTACAATTTGCATATTCTGTTCGTCACCTTTCTTTTGAATACGTATAAATACAGATCTGTTCCAGTTAGCTGGCCAGGTAGCTGTCTTCAAATTTCTTGGCCTAGATAAGTGAATGCTTCCAGTGCTTCATCAGCCTGTTGAAAAATGTCCAGTGGTATTCCACTGATTCATGGAACCTTGTTTGGGGATGACGCGTTCAGTGTAGCTTGGACTTTCTTCTTCAAACCCATTGGTTCTTGATCGTGTACTACTACTTCTTGAAATGGTTAAATATTGACTTGTGTTTTTCGTTGTTGTTGTTTTAATACAGTGATCTGTATATTCTTTCCATCATATTTTGATGGTTTCCCCATCATACTATATTTTGCCCATAGAATCTTTCAATCTTAAAACTCTAAGCTTGAATTTTTTCTTAAGTCTTTCAGTTTATGATATTTAGGTGTATACTACTTCCTTTTTGGCTTTCTGAACTCTAAATATTTATTCATTTAATTTTACATTGTCTTCTCAGGCTACTCTTTGAACTTTTCTTTTCAGCTCTTTGATTTCATTATTTCTTTTATTTGCCTGGATACTTTACAATTAAAGAGCAAGTTTCAGAAGGTATCTGACATCCACACTGATCTTTTCTTTCCTGTCTTCTAATGACCTCTTGCTTTTCTTATGTATGAAGTCCTGCTGTCCTCCCATAGCTCATCACGTCTTCTGTCGTTGGGATGCAATGTGTGCTATCTGTTCTTGAGATGTTCTCCAAATTCAAGTGGCATAGACTCAAGGTCATATTTTGGCTCTTCTAGGCTTGTTTTAATTTTCCTCAGCTTCAACTTGAACTTAGGAGCAATTGATGGTCTGTTTCAGCATTGGCCTATGATCATGTTTTAGTTTAATGCTAATATTTAGTTTCTTTGTCATCTCTTCCCACAGATGTAATCAATTTGATTTCTGTGTATTTCATTTGGAGAAATACAGGTGTATTTTTCTGTTGTTAGAAAAAAGTATTTGCGATAAAATTGTTGGTCTTATAAAATTCTATCATGCTATCTCCAGTTTCATTTCTATCAACAAGATCATATTTTCCAATTACTTCCTCTTTGTTTCCAACTTTTACATTCCATTAGCCAATAATGATTGAATATTTGATCAATTTCAAATTGAATATGTTAAAATTCTCAAATTTCTTCATGACGAACTTTATCCATTGGTACATCAATATGAATAGTAGTTGTATTAACTGGTTATCCTTGGATGGGAATAGAGAAACTGTCACGGACAGCATTTATAATACAGACAGCATTGTACTCCAAGATAGATCTTTTTGATGAATGCAAAACCATTTCTCTTGAATACGTCCTTCCTGGCATAGTAAACCATATCGCTGTCTGATTCCAAATGGCCAGTGCCAGTCCATTTCAGCTCCGTAAAGCCTAGGATATCAATCTTTATTGCTTCCATTGCTTTTTTGATGACTTCTAATTGTTTATTTAAATGAGGTTTCTGCCCCTTCACAAAAGAACAGTCAGTAGCAGTTGGATCCATTAAAAGCATATGTCCGTTTCTTTCCTGTTTTTCATAAATATTTTTCTGGATTACTTCAAAACTTGTGCTGGGGTCGGCAAACTATAGCCAGTGGGTCAAATCTAACCTCTTGCCTTTTTTGGTGAAAACACAGCCACACTCTGTTTACTTAATGATCGGTCGTTGCTTCTGTGCTGCCACAGTAGAATTGAGTAGTTGCAATCATGACGCTTTGTCAGAGCCCAAAATATTTATTCTTATCAGGGAAAAATATGCTGACCTCTGAACTAGTGCAAAGCATCTGGCACCTTACTGCAGTCATCTTAATGGACAAAATAGAAAAACGTAAGATAGGGAATGAATGCTTATAACACTCGGAATGGTCATGCACAGTGGCTAGGGCCCATTTGAGAAAGAATAATGTGGCAGACTATTAGATAGCCATACTTAATAGTCTATAGCTATCATCTCAATATTTCTTTCAGTGATTTATTGAAAGTTGATAAAGGCTGTATATTCTAACTCACTGGTTCTCAAACATTTTTGTCTGTAGGCCCCTTAAGAGTTTTAATTTATGCAACTTATGTTGTCTGAATTTCTTACATTTAAAAAAAAGACATTCAAAATGTGTTAAAATAACAAACACATTACATGTGAATTTATTAAAAGTAACTTTCAAAACAAAAAAAATGTAGTAAGGAGAGTAGTAATGTTACATATTTTCAGGTTTTATTACTGATTGGCTTAACAGAAGACTAGATTCTTGTACCTGCTTTTGCATTTAGTCTATTGTATTATCACATGTCATTGTCATAGATAGCCTCAGCAAAACCCCACTGTGTACTCATGAGCGAATAGAAGTAACAGGGCAAATTATGTCTTGGTATTACTATGAAAATATCATCCAGACTCCCTAAAAACCTTCCTATAGGATTCCTGGACCACACTTCCAGAATATGATCTAAGTAATAAAATATATTTAGCAAATACTAGGTGATAAGAATTTTCACATGTTGAATCTTGAATGATTATGTGCTCTTAAAAAGAAAAAAAGAACTTGTAAGTAAGTGAGCTCAAAACCACATATATATTATTAGGGAAATTATAATCAAAACTACAGTGAGGTATACCACATCACACCCACTAGGAATGCTATGATTTAAAAGAAAAATTATAAATGTTGACAAGGAATTGGATAAATTAGAACCCTCATATGCTACTCATGAGAATGTTAAAAGGCACAAAACTGACTGGCAGGGATTCCAAAAGTTAAACATGCAGTCACCATGTGACTTGGCAATTCTACACTTAAGTATGTACCTATCAATTTAAAACATGTCCCCATAAAAACACTTATGCAAATGTTCAGAGCATCATTTGAGATTGCCAAAAAGTAGATACAACCCAGATATCTCTAAATCTAATAACTAAGCAAAATATATACATACAGTGCAAATTCACTTGCCAATAAAAAAAGAATGAAGTACTGATAAGGATGAACATAGACTAAGTGACTAAGTGAAAGAGCCTCATCACAGAGACTTTTATGATTCCATTTTGTATAAAATGTCCATGATAGGCAAAATAATAGCTAAAGAAGGCAAATTAGTTGGGGGAGGAGAAAAAAATAGGGCGCTAGTACTAATGAGCTTGTAATTTATTTACATTATAAAAATTCAATGTCTGTTTACAGTATCCAGTCATTTTATTAAACAGTGTCTTCTTAGCATATATTCAGTCTGAACAGTATATAATAAATAGGCTTCATAATTTGGAGTAAAATTATACTAGAGTAGAAATTGGGAGTACATCTGCCTACTTGTTTTTGTATTTCCTGTTTTTATTTACTTGCTTTTAAAATTTAGGCTGTTTATAAAATCCTTATGCCAAGGAATAATATAAAAATCTGAATCCTAATGTTATTTATTTGATTAACAGAAACCTACCCCTTTTGCGCAACCTGCCTTTTCAGCTTCAAAACAGTCACCACCAATATCAGCACCTAAACGGATTGATCCAAAATCTCTTTGTAAGACACCAAGCAACAGTACCCTGGATGATTATATGCACTGGTAATTACTTTCAGCACTTAGTTTGGGAGGTCGAGTGCTGCAGTAGAAATAAGATGGGCTTTCGGAACCCAATAGATCTGGGGTTTAATCCTGCTGTGTTAGTTGAGTTTTCAAAGTCACACTTTTGTCAGTATCGACTATCTCAACTGTAAAGAGAGGGGAAGGCATCTACAATGATACAATTTTTAAAGGATTGATGTGAATTTAAGCTCTGTTATATTGTAATCTGCTTCTAGCCATAAATGTTCTTCAGATTGCAAGCTTATTTATAAGCATGAGTTGTCAAATGGATACTTTTCTATGATGGAGATATTTTAAAGGTTAGCTTTCTTAGGGTAGAATAAATGGTAGAGAGATGTTATGAAAAGGGAGGTGTTAATTTCAATATCTTTTCTGGTGAGTTTGGTTTTATACAGTAGTTCACATAATTCTGGAGTTATTCAAGAATAGAAAATTTGAATGGGAATGACAGTTTAGTAAAGAAATTGAGTGTCTTTGATAACGAATAGAAGGGTCATATTTCAAAAAGCAAATAGACATTTCAAAATAAAGGGATATGGTATACCATCATAACCTTCGTCGGGTGGCTATATTTTTAAAATATTTTCAGTGTATTTGAATATAAGTCTTTTTTGTTTTGTTGTCACAATGTGATCTTTTAATCTTAATTAGAATTGACCTTTGAAATCATACAACCCATTTCTTACCTATTTAATATAATTTTTCTATCTATAGGGCAAGTTAAAAAGTATGGAAACCTTTATTATCCCAAAATACCCAAATGTAAAGTTAAATTGTTTTTCAGCATACCCTCTACCTAGGTCCATTATTCTTTGAAGATAGCATTTCCACCTCTCTAACCCTTCTCTAAAGAGTTCTACTCTCTGATTTACACCATGTCAAAATGGTAGTTAGGGCATCCTTGGGATTCACATTCCTTAATTGTTCTTTAATATGGAGAACAGAAAGAAGTCTGAAGGGCATATATTGGATCTGTAGTGTTGATGGGGAAGATTTCCCAACAAAATTATCTTAGGGCATCCCTGGCTGTCCACAAAGAATGAGCAAGTACATTGTCGTGATGGAAAACAGTTCTTAGGCTCAATTTTCTTCAGCCAAAACTCACCAGTGCCATTTTCCATTTTCTTGAAACTTCTTCAAGAAAATCAAGATTAACCCTTGCGAATCCCCAACTTCTGTTGTTATGACTTGAGCTGGCCTCTATTGGTCTTAGTTGTAACTGACCCACCTGTTACCCTAAGAAGCCTCTGTTCTGATCGGACCTTTTCTTTGAAGACATCCTAAGGAGAATTAGTGAGAGAGCTTGTGTGCAGCCATCCATGGATCACAGACATGTTTAAGCATTTTGGATTAGAGCTGTAGTGGCAGTGCTTCCTGACTTGCCCTTATATTGCTCCATTTTATTATTTATAAATAACTACTACTAACTCACCATGATCTAATCAATACTGGCTCATAGCAACCCGTCAGTTTCCAAGACGCTAACTGTTTACAGAAGTGGAAAACCTCGTCTTTGTCCCGAGGAGCTGCTGGTGGTTTCTAACTGCTAACCTTGTGAATTGCAGTCCATAGAGTAATCGTAACACCATCAGGGCTTAAACAATGATGAGTTATTTTTTGTAATACTAGATTATTTCCAGCAAATGTTTGTAGAGCTCCTTTGTACTAAGTATAAGGTCCTATGTCGTAAGTATACAGCAGTGAACAAAATAAAGCACAAATATGAACAGAACACATTTAAGCTCTGCAGCCAAACTTCTGATGTAATTCAGATCTTTCTAACAGATTGACATTTTTGCAATAAAATTATAGAACATGTTGTAAAAAGTTCCACTTGAAATCTAAGATCAGCCATACACTAACCTCTGCTTTGGCTAAATCCTTGTTTTAAAAAAATAGCTCCAAATCTATATTTTGAAATACTATTTATTTTACTAACAAAGATTTCTTGTCTGGGAACAAAAATACTACTTTTCAACAAGATTTAATCTCCCAGTTAAAATATTAGGAGATGGTATATGTAGAATAAGTAATATTAGCTACATAATAAAAGTTGGCTTGTTTTCTGTTTGTTGTGCTACGTGGGTATTTATTGACTTTTTAAAAATCCATGTGATAGGAATCAGTTTCTTGGTTTTCGAGCTTCAGTGATTTCATTGTTTTCTTTTCTAGTTTCAGAACTCCAGTCGTAAAGAATGACTTTCTGTCAGCTTGTCAGATTTCAACACCTTATAGCCAAGCTGCCTATTTCCAGCATCACATGCCAGCTACACCACTTCAAAATCTGCAGGTTTGACAAGTTTTATTTTGTTTAGGTATAATTAATTTCTTAGTGTTTTGTTTTTGTTTTTGTCTTCTTTTTCAAACAACAGCACCTACTTGTCAGGAAAAGTCTTGACTTTTCCATTCCTATGCCCACTTAGTAAAATTGTTTTCTGACATCTTTATATAGCGTGTGCCTTGTCACTGAGAGTTTGAACAAGCTAATGAAGTTTTTCTCATTGAATAGTTATCTATTTAAGCCTCCTCCTAGTTTAAGTACATTGCATTGGTTAATGAATATAGAATGTATCTGAAAAAATAAGTTTAGAAATATCAGAATGGCGATAATAGGTGTGTTCTACTTGGCATTGCTAGAACAGTACGCCAGTGGGTGGCTGTCATGAACTGCTAGTGGGCTACGAGTTTGAATTTGGGGCACCAGCAATAGGAGAAAGCTCTCTCTGGTCAGGTCCCTGCCTCTCTTCAGCTTCTGTCCCGTGCATATGTGTGTGCTATGACTATATGACATTGTTTTTATATCTAATCTCTTATTTCAAATGTGTTTGGTTTACACCAATATGGGTGTATTATAATAATCAAGAGAACTATTTCTAAATAAGTTATGTAAGACCTTCTAATGTCTCAGAGCAGTTAGTAGCTGTAGCTGGGCACCATCTTATTCTGGTCTCAGTCCGGGTGACCGTGCTGGGTTATTTGTTGGGCTGATAATTACAAGGTCAGCAGTTGAAAATCACCAACCTCTCTGAAAAGTTACAGGCTTGGAAACCCACGGGGCAGCTCTACTCTGGCTTAGTGGGGTCACTGTGAATCAGCATCAACTCAATGGCAGCGAGTTTGGTTTTTATTTTGTTCAAGGTTGTGGACATTGATGTTTGCGTGGTCCATTAATCCACTAGATTAATCGTTTCCGTATGTCTTTTAATTTTCGTCACTCTTTTCTTCCGGTTGAGGAGAGACCATTAGTTGCACCTTAGTTGGTACTCACCAAAATAAGACATAGAATATTATATTTATAGCGTATGTTACGCCAACTAGCCTTGGTGTGCTGGGCCCCAAGGTGTAGTGATTCATCCCTTCAAGGTATTTGGTTATGTCTTAAGAAATTTTCAGGGGGAAGAACAACAGAAAAGTGGATAAAAGGAGACAGTGGATGATGTAAGCTATGAAAATAATAATTCATAATTTATAATTTATAAAGGGTTCATAGGGGAAGCAGGGGGAAAATGAGGAGCCAATACCAACGGCTCAAGTAGAAAGAAAATATTTTTTAAATGATGGCAACATGTACAAAAGTGCTTGACACGATGGATGGATGGTTGGATTGTGATAAGAGCTGTAAGAGCCCCCAATAAAATGATCTTTTTAAAAAGAAAGGGAAAAACAAAGTGTAGTGAGAGGTTACAATCCTGACACACAGCTTTATTGATTTTAAAACATGCAGGTGCTCCTTGTTCTGTTCTCACAGCTGCCTGTTTTCCATGTATAGATTCCATGTGAGTCCAGTAGAGTATTCTGGAATTGCCATTCTTTTTAAGGCTCTCCATGATTTATTATGGTCTAAATAGTTGAATGCTTTTACATAGTCAATAAAACACAAGTAAACATAGAAATAAGTTTTCATAACTTCCCTTTGTATGCACCACCACATTCATGGATATATTTACATCAAAAGTACATATTCATGTACAAATATCCTCTGTCTGATATACATATTTGTGGGTATACTATCCTTCCCACACCTCTTCTGCCTTTGTGTCTGTCTGAGCATCTACTCAGATCGCCACTCTTGCAGGATTGTGGTCTCATGTATTTGACTTTTATGATGCACTAATTTCACCCTCAAACTGTACTCCTTCATGTATGTTTTTTGTGTGTCAGTAAATGTAAAGCATATGCAGGGGACAACGTTATGAAAACATCTTGGCCATAACCAAATAACATGAGGGAATGAATGAGTCACTAGACCTGGGTGCTCAAGACTATAGTCTTGGGGTATACCTAGGTCAACTGGCATAAAATAGTCCACAGTGACAGTGCTTTACATCCTATTTTGATAAATAGTGATTAGGAACTTAAAAGCTTGAGAACTGCCATCAAAGGTGCAACTAACTATTCTCTCCTCATCTGAGACCAAGAAAGAATGAGTAAAATCAAAGGTGCAATTATCCAGTGGACTAATGGACTTTGTGAACAACTCTGAGTTTTTACAACCTAGAGACCAGAAGAACTAACTGGTGCCAGCCTACCACTACAAACTGCTCAGAAAAAGATCACAAGAGGCTCTGGATAGAATGGGAGAAAATGTGAAACCAAACTCCAAGTAGTGAAAAAAGGAAGGGGGAAAAAAGGCTAGAATTACTACTGGTCACATAAAGACTGATGTAGCGCCCCCAGGGCTATGTCGCTTAGACCCTCTTCAGGCCAAAACTGAACTCATCCCCATGGCTCACTTTTCACCCAACTGATAGGCCTGTATCAGTGAGCTGTAACACCTAGGAGTTATTCCCTGCTTAGAACCATCAACCATACTTACTCCAAAGAGAAGCATTTGCCCAGGGCTAAAGCTCAGAAGAGAAGCCCCGATGATATCCTGGTTACAGATGGGGCTGCGATTTCATGCTCAGCACTCGGAGACCACCAGCAGCAACTGTGGAGACAGAATTGTGAACAGCTCCAGTCTCGGAAACCCCCGGCATCGCTACAAGTCAGCACTGACTCTTGGCAGTGGGAAAGCGCAAAAGGCAGGCTGAACGAGGAAAGAGGATAAACTTCTGCCAGTGAGTCAGTTCTGACTCAGTAGGATTGCCTTTGTACGTTTCTGAGACGAAATCTTTGTGGGAGCAGAAAGCCTCATTGTCCAGCAGAGTGGCTGGTGGGTACAAATTGCTGACCTTGCAGTTAGCAGCCCAATTCAGAACCTACGACCCCTAGGAATTGGTAACTACAGGGAATCCTGTTAAATTGTAAGGATCAATTCCAAGAACCAAAATGTGTATAAATTATGGATTGGAAAACCAGTTTTCTCTATAAACTCACCCAAATCACAAAAATTATCAAACAAACCTGGAACGTAGCCTCCAGGAGATCATCCTTCAACAAAAACAATAGAGGCCTATGAAGTGAACAATGACATCTTTGAGGAATGTGCTTCTGAAAACAGTTGACCTTATACGACCAAAAGGGCAGTATTTACCCAAAAGAAAGTTTAGAAAGCAGTAATGGACAAGAAAGATAGTCAAATAGAAACAAAGTTTCCCAGGAAGAAGTGGAAAGAATGCTATTACATCGAGGAGACGGCAACTAATGTCAGGAGATAAAATGTATATGAATTATTGAATGAGAAAGAAATGCATTTGCTTTATAAACATTTACCCAAACCACAATAAAATGTTCAAGAAGAAAAGTGGAAAAAGTGAATGCCTGTCTCCTGTTTGAAGGAGTTCTTTTATGTAGATGACAGATTTGAAAATATAATTAAAGTGTGTCGTATCTAGTGCTGCTACAACACTTATCTTCATTGGGTGTCTTTCAAAAGCAGAAACGTGTCTTCTCGCTGTTCGGTAGACTTGAAGGCCACATTCAGGGTGCTGGCCCTGGGGAGGGTCATTGTCTCTTTCTAGCTTTGACTTTTGGTTTCTTGGTGATCCTCATTTGACAAGGTATGTCTTATCTCAACCCCGCTGTTTTGCTGTTTGCTTAATCTGCTCTCTTCTATCTCAAGAGATTAATTTATGACACACCCTATACTGATAGCTGTCTCATTAATAAAACAAACATTAACCACAGGTATTGGTGTTAGGACTCACAACACATGTGAAAGGGACTTCAAAAAGTTTATAGAAAAACTCTGTTCGCTTTTTGGTGTTCCACAACTTTTTTAAGCCCCTTGTATTTTTATTTTTTTAATAATTTTATTGGGGGCTCATACAGTTCTTATCACAATCCATACATAGTATATCCATTGTGTCAAGCACATTTGTACATATGTTGCCATTATCATTTTCAAAACATTTTCTTTCTAAGTAAGCCCTTGATATCATCTCATTTTTTCCCCTCCTTTCCCCACCCTCCCTCCCTCATGAACCCTTGATAATTTATAAATGAATCTTTTTCATGTCTTACACCCCTTGTATTTTTAGTGGCCACAAATCAACCCGTAAGACAATATATCCTGGCACAAAAATTTTTTTTAATTTAAGGTACAGTCATTGACCAAACTTCACTAAGGAAGATTTCAGGAGACTTAGATAGTTTTCCAAAGATTTGACCAAAAAAAGGGTCTTTTAGAAACAACAATAATAATTCTTTAAAACTGGTGTTGGATAAATTTGAATTTAAATCATATGTTTAAAATCCGGAGTCTTTGTGAATGTACAGTTTAGTTCAACAATCAGTCTTAGAGATATTAAAACAGATTTGATTCTTCAAACCTAGGAGTGAATAGTTTCTATACCATCTTAATATATGGGCCACCTTTTAAATGCTTTTTGCTTTAGAAGTAGATCTCTTCTAACATACGAATATGTAGTTATATTCAAATACCACATTTTTTAGACCTCCATACTGACAGCTGATTTTTCTCACTTGTTGGGTTTTTTTTTTCCTTAAACAAAATTTTTGAATTAGCAAGGCTTACTTCATGTGGAAAGACCCAGCTGTCTATTCAGAAAACTCCCAACTCTCTGTCTACCAAGAAAGAGGTTGAAGTTCAGAGAACTTGAGAACTTAAGTTGCTTATTCAACATCATTCACCAACAAAAAAGAGAATTGCTGAAATTCACATTTACCTGATTGGTTTAGAGCTCTTAGCACATTGCCTTCTTAACAATATCATGTTAGATAAGAAGAAAAGAACATAGATATAATTGTATGCAATAGAAAAGAGGTGTTATAATGAAAAGTAGAGGGGCAAATGATAATTTGGGTATTTGCAAGTTTGGTTATAAAGTATCGTTTTCGCCTTTCAGACTTAAGTGTTTATGTTAAATTAGAGAAGGACATATTAGAAGCTTGTCTCTGTTCATTTAGTAATTTTATCTGACTAAACCATGAAGAACAAGTTCCTTTAAAAATATTTTTTTTAATACTTAAGGTATTTTTTAAATGGAAGCATTTTACATGCCAGTTTTTTTTTTAACATGTTCTTTTGGATTTTTATTTATATATTTTAATTACTTAGATGCCAGCATCCTCTTTAGCAAACGAATGCATTACAGTTAAAGGAAGAATTTATTCCATATTGAAGCAGATAGGAAGTGGAGGTTCAAGTAAGGTAAGTACTTTAAATACTTAAGTGAACAAAAGTATTTCAAATTTCCCTTTCTCCATCTTTCTACCTTTTGAGGCTCTGTGTTGACTTGTAGGGGCTCATATTGCCCTTTCTGAGTACCATTTTACTTAAAAATTCCCATGCTTACATTCCCTGCTCATAACTCTGCCTTGAATTCTAAATGTATATATTCAACTGAGTGAGTCCTGGTGGCACAGTAGTTAAATGCTTGGGTATTAACTGAAAGGTCGGTGGTTCAAACCCACCAGCTGCTCTGTACTACTCTGTTTGGAAGTCTGCTGCCATAAATGCTGCCTTAGTAAGGCAGTTCTGTCCTGTACTATAGGGTCACTGTGAGTCAGAATCCACTTGACAGCAATGTTTATATCCAACTGATATAACTTTTGGTGGGGGGCGGGGGGTTCCTAGAATTTTGAGGTGTAATATGTCCAAAATATAGTTCTAGTAAATCACATCACATAGTCATGCTTAACATTATTGTGTTTCTTTTTCTTTAGATTATTTCCGTAGTTAAGGCATAAAACAGAGTGTTATGAGCATATATGGAGTTATGTAATTACTTTTAGTATGTAAGGGAGTTTCAAAAAGTGGGAAAATTCCATTATCTTTTAAATCCCATTCTTTGTGAGCTTTTTGAAACCCCCTTCATGGGTTAATATGGAAACTTTTCAGGTTTACATCTTTTGAGTTATTTAGTACCCATAGTCATCGGTTATTGATTGGTAGTGAACTGTTACTCATATTCTGATTAATTCTTTTCCTTATATACTACGAATAGGTTGAGAAACTTTCAGTTGCTCACATCATTATTTCCTTTGAATTATTTCCTAATTTCCTAATAAAGTAGAAGTGTTAAGATGTTACATAAGTAAAAATATATTCTAAACTCTTTTCTTTGTCCTCTTATGTAGGTATTTCAAGTGTTGAATGAAAAGAAACAGATACATGCTATAAAATATGTGAACTTAGAAGATGCAGATAACCAAACTATTGATAGTTACCGGAATGAAATAGCTTATTTGAATAAATTACAACAACACAGTGATAAGATCATCCGACTTTATGATTAGTAAGAATTATTCAAAATATTTAACGAGAAAACTCAATTTGGGGTGGGAGGAGCTTTATAATTCTTCAGGTAAGTGATAAAAATTAATATAACCCAACCATTTATTGTCTTGTTGCTTTTATTTATTTGCTTTTGACTGCAGTGAAATCACAGACCAGTACATCTACATGGTAATGGAATGTGGAAATATCGATCTTAATAGTTGGCTTAAGAAGAAAAAATCTATCAATCCATGGGAACGCAAGAGCTACTGGAAAAATATGTTGGAGGCAGTCCATACAATTCACCAACATGGTATTTAAAATTAAATCTTTAGGATATAAAGTTAAAATATTTGTTTCATATTAAAAGAATGTCTTTTTTGTTGTAATTTGTGTCATTAAAATGGTATCATAGAATTAGCCACCTAAACTAAGTAAGTTTATTTAAAGGTGATGGAATAACTCATTCCTTTTTTTGGTAAACTTATTATAAACTAGGTTGAAGTTTACAAAGCAGATCATCAGTTTTACATTAAAAAAATCATGGATAGTTTGTTTCAGCTCATCCATTACAGTCCCTTAAGTGTACCACCTCCTGTTCCACTTTCTTCCTCTTTTCTGTGTCTATACCTCCTCCTTTCCAAACCCTGTGAACTTTGTACATTTAGGAAATACAGGCCATAAAATCAAGTCCTCACTTCCATTATGGAAAATGTATCTCTCTTGATAGTAACATAGTCATTATCTGAAAATAACTCAATTATAACAGATCTAAGATTTGGGAGATGCAGCCACCCTAATGTTTGAGATGTTTATCTCGCTTGTCCTAGTGCTTCGTGTTGTGTGCCATATTTGGGAGTTTGGTTTTCGTCTTTCTTACTGTTAGCCCTGTCTTCTTGGGGTGTTTGTTTCCGCCTTGGTTCTTCTGGGGGCTTCTTTGCTTTTGTCTTATACTTTTTTCTCTTGTTTTCCATTTATCGTCAACCTTGATCATTATAATTTATCTTCCTAATGTCTACCATTGTGTACGTTAGGAGGTTCAACAAATGGTCCTGTCACTTGGGTCATGTGATCTTCAGCAAATGATTTAAGCCCTATTACCTTAGTGGGTTTTTTTTAAATCATTTTATTGGGGGCTCATACAACTCTTATCACAATCTACACATCCATTGTGTCAAGCACATTTGTACACCCGTTACTGTTATTCTCAAAATATTTGCTCTCCATTTGAGCCCTTGATAGCTCCTCATTTCCCCCCTCCCTCCCTACTCCCTCCTCTGTCATGAACCCCTGATAATTTATAAATTATTATTACTTTGTCATTACCTTAGTTTTTAAACATGAAAGTGGGACTAATAATAGTACTTATGTCCCAGATAATAATAATACCGAAGTGTTACAGAGCAAATGATTCATTACCAGCTAAATGCTTAGAATAGTGCCTGGCACACAGCAGGTAGTATATGAGTGTTTGTAGAACATATGTTTTTTAAGTTATTTTTATTGCCTTGACCAACTAAAGGTACCAACTCAATCTATAGATTTGAAATATCTTTTAGAATGTTTTACAGTATCTAATTTAATAATGGTTCTTATTTTGAAGGCATTGTTCACAGTGATTTGAAACCTGCTAACTTTCTGATAGTTGATGGAATGCTAAAGCTAATTGATTTTGGAATTGCAAATCAAATGCAACCAGATACAACAAGTATTGTTAAAGATTCTCAGGTAAGATTTTTAATGGCTATTATTAGTTACCACACTATAGAGTTCAATACTTGTCTTCAGTGAAGTATATGATTATTATTGGAAGCCGCAATCAAGAAAGCAAATGATGTATGAATTGTTAAAAGAGCTTTAAGAGCCCCTAATAAAATGATTTATTTAAAAAATAGAAAGAAATCAACTGATGTACTACATTGGGCATATCTGCTACACAGGACTTCATTAAAGTATTGAAGAACAAAGGTGTCAATTTGTGGACCAAGGAGCACCTTACCCAAGCCCTAGAGTATTTTCAATTGGATGCTCCTTAGAAGACTTCATCTCCCATACCTTGGACATATAACCAGGAGATACTAGTCCCTGGCAAAGGACATCATGCTTGGTAAAGAAGAAGGGCAGTCCAAAAGAAGGGAATATCAGTGAATAAAATTAAACCCATCAGCGAGATGGATTGGCTCAGCGGCTACAACAGTGGGCTCAAACAAAATGATGAGGATGGTACAGAACTGGGCACTGTTTCATTATGTTGTACATAGTGCCACTATGACCAACTCGGCTGCCTAACAACAAGTATTTAGTTTTACCTATCGTCCCTGAAGCCCTCTTTGTCGGAAACTCAACACTATAGCTGTGACAAGGGCTGAGGCGGTGGTTGTTAGGTACTGTCGCGTCAGTTTGGGCCCATATTGCCTCTATTGCACAGCTGAATGAGACACTGCCCAGTCCTACGCCATCCTCAACATTATTCCCATTCTTGAGCCCATTGTTGGAGCCACTGTGTCAATTCATCTCCTTGAGGGCGGGCCTTCCTCTTTTTCGCTGCCACTCTACTTTACCTAGTATGATGTCCTCCACAGCCTGGTTTCTCCTTAAAACATGTCCACAGTACGTGAGACCAAGTCCCACCATCCTGTCCTCTAAGGATCACTCTGGCCTTACTTTTTCCAAGGCAGATTTATTTGTCCTTTGAACAGCCCATGGTACTTTCAATATTCTTCAACCAGCTGAGGTAAAGAACCATTAATGCCTGCCTTGGAAATCATCTTTGTTATCATCTAAAATTGACCTTACATTTTGGTTTGGTGGAACTGCAATTACTAGTTTATCATTGTCCACAAGGTAATGATTTTTTTTTCCCCCAGAGAAGCAAAATTTTCATGTATCTTAAATTTAAAATAAATTTCTTAAGTGGACTTTTATACTAGAAATGTATTAATAAATATTTGGAACAGCGTTTTTATAAGTTTTTTTAATTTGTTCCCATAAAAGCTAAAGTATAGGTGAAAAAGAATCCTCCTTGAAGCCAAGAAAGTATTTTCCATGCATATAAATTTTGATGTGAATCTGCCTTAATCTTAGTAGTAAGCCACATTGAAGTATTAGTTTTTACTGTATTCTTACCTTTTTTTGAAAGCAGCATGCCCTTCAAACAATTTTATTTAACGCTCAAAAATGTGGCTGAATATTAGTTGTAAAACATCTTGGAGATATATTTGTTTCAGAGGAGAACCATTTGTTTTAGAAATCAGCTAGTACATTTAGGGACATAATCATTTCAGAGAAACTCTTGCTTGGTTTAGATGTATGTTCCATGTCTGTGTGGAGGAGGCTTGGGGATAATTTGGAAAGAAGCCAGATTAGTTTTGTTTATATATTGTTTGGCTAGTCTATTTTTTTAAAATTCTAGATCTATGTTGACCTAGACTGGTCTGGTTGACCTAGACAGAAATGACTGGTCTGGCCCCTCCCAGTTTGTGACCATTAATATAACTTTAGACTAGACAGGTTATAAAGCAGGAATTATTAGTTGACCAATTTAACAGTATGAGTTGGAGGTGACTTGGTAGCAGTGGGTTTGGCTTTTTGGGTATAACAATATATAAACTCAGCATCCTAAAAGCATCAATTTTCTTATCAATTTAATTCACTGACATTGTGAAGAAATTTGACATTTCCAACATTAACATTGTTGAAAGTTTAAAATTTTATTCAGGTAAATATGAAATCTGTAATTATACAAGTTTCCAAAAACCTGAGGTTTTCTGTTTTTAGAAAGTCTGAAACATAATGAAATATTTTTATTGATTTTTGTTCTCTGTGACTTGTTAAACAGGTTGGCACAGTTAATTATATGCCTCCAGAAGCAATCAAAGATATGTCTTCCTCAAGAGAGAATGGAAAATTAAAATCAAAGGTACTGTAAAGATTTCGTACATTCCGCTGATGTGTGTGGTCATAGGGAATGGACCGCTCTCTGAACCAGCCTGCCTGGTAGCTCAGTGTTACCTCTTGAGGTCATTGCACAGACTTGACTCCTCACACGGGTTTCCACAAGAACTGCTGTGACATTAATCTTAAAGTTTTAAAAATATATCCCATTTGTGAATTCTATGTTTTCAGATAAAATTGGTGTACTATTTTCTCCAAAGCATGACCTTCCACTTGGCAACTTTCCCATTTATTTTAGCCCCCACCTCAATGAGCTTTGTCAGCAGTGCCTTTATCAGAGGCCTGTTTTGATAAAATAATAACCTGTGATTCCCAAGTGTTTCTCGGTGTGCAACTATACAGGAAGTGGTTGTAAGTACACATTACTGTCCAGGGACCTGCATTCAAGTCTCTGTTAACAACCATCTTTGGGCAGGTGACTTGTCTTATTTCTTCATCTGTGAACTGGTCTTGTAAACAGTACATGTTTCAAAAGAAATAAAGAGTCTCATGAGAAAGAATATAAAGCTCTTAGTACATTGTGCAACTCAGTATAATTACTTGATAAATGCCCTTTTATATCTAAATTGTATTTTCTTTCTTTTTTCCCCCTAGCTAAATTGTATTTTCCTTCCTAGAAAGTTGTGGCTTTTAATGTCTTTTCAAATAACTGACATCAAATTTTTCCAAATATTCTTTTTTACTATCCTTTTAATATTTGCTTAGCTTTCTTCTAATGTCCTCCCCTCCCTTTTTTTCCAAGGTGGAGCATGAGGGAAGTGTTACTATTAACAAGAGTTTGTTGTTTGATTTACCAGTTGTGTTTTTTTTAATCATTTTATTGGGGGCTCGTGCAACTCATCAAAATCCATATGTCCATCCATTGTGTCAAGCACATTGTACATTTGTTGCCATAATTATTCTCAAAACATTTTCTTTCTTCTTGAGCCCTTGTTATCAGCTCCTCATTGTCCCGCCTCCCTCCCTCATGAATCCTTGATAATTTATAAATAATTATTTTTTCATGTCTTGTACTGTCCAATGTCTCCCTTCTGTTGTCTGTCCCCCAGGGAGGGGGTTATATGTAGATCATTGTGATCGGTTCCCTCCCACTACCCCCACCTTTCCCTTACCCTCCTGGTATCGTAAATCTCCTTGTTGGTCCTAATGGGTTTATCTGTCCTGGATTCCCAGTGTACATCCTCTGGTCTAGCCAAATTTGTAAGGTAGAATTGGGATCCTGATAGTGGGGGAAGAGAAAGCATTAAAGAACTAGAGGAAAGTTGTATGTTTCATCGGTGCTACACTGCACCCTGAGTAGCTCGTCTCCTTCTCGCGACCTTTCTATAAGGGGGTGTCCAATTGCCTACGGATGAGCTTTGGGTCCGTACTCCGCACTCCCCCTCAGTCACAATGATATGATTTTTTGCTCTTTGATACCTGATCCTGTCAGCACCTCGTGATCACACAGGCTGGTGTGCTCCTTCCATGTGGGCTTTGTTGCTTCTCAGCTAGATGGCCACTTGTTTATCTTCAGGCTTTTAAGACCCCAGATGCTATATCTTTTGATAGCCGGACACCATCAGCTTTCTTCACATTTGCTGTGCACCCGCTTTGTCTTCAGTGATCGTGTCGGGAAGGTGAGCATCGTGGTATACCAATTTAATTGAACAAATGCTCTTGCATTGAGGGAGTACTGGAGGCCCAATGTCCATCTGCTAGCTTAAAACTAAACCTATAAATATATGCACATACATCTCTTTCCCCATTGTCATATATAAATATATCTACATATGTAAATATGTAAATGTTTAGACCGGTCTTTAGACCTCTATAAATGCCCTTTACCTCCTAGTTCTTTCCTCTATTTCCTTTTACTTTCCTCTTGTCCCACTACCATGTTCAGCCTTCAGTTGGGTTTCAATAATTCCTCTTAGTTGCATTTGCCCTTGATCAAGGCTTACCAGGCCTCCTACACCCTACTCGGCATCAATTTTAGTTCACTTTTTGTTCCCTTGTCCCTGGGTTTGTTAACACCCATGTCCTTTCTCTCCCTCCCCTTCTCCCATGACACCCTGGAACTGTCGGTCACATTTACACCTCCAGATTGTTTATCCAGCTTATCTTATCTAGATAGACATGCAGAGACGTTAATATGCACAAAAAACTAGAGAAAGCAACAAAAGAAAACAAAACAGCAACAACCAAACAAGACCAATGACTAAAGAAAAAAGAAAGAAAGAAAGAAACGCCTGTAAATAGTTCAAGGTCTGTTTGTTGACCTTTAGGAGTGTTTGGTGTTCCCTATTTTTGGTATTCCCTGGGGACTTCATTGCTCTGTTCCACTTGCTGTTCTGTTGCATGCCCTGAATGTTTCGCCACAGTGTGGTGGGGTCAATCCCCTCACTGTATCTCCAGTGTTTGTCCCCCATATCGCTATGGGACCAGTTCTTTTTTATTTGTTTTCTAGTTTACTTCTGTTTTTATCTTTATTAATATAATCTTTCTATTCTCTTTAGGTTAGTTACTTTGCTAGATTCTAGATTTAAATACTACATAAGTTAATGTTCTAACCTAATTAAGCTAAATTAGTAAGACTAGGAATTTACTTTGAATTTGACATTAGTAGCTAGCCACAAGTTCTGTGATACACCGTATAGTGTATAAGCCAAGTTTTTCAGCACATTTTTTAGGCAGTTTTTGTGGTAAAATTAGGTGCCTCAGCTGATATGTGGGTCGGCTTTTACTCGGGTATATATAGTGCCTTAGTTTCATTAATTTCTAAAATTTGTAATTTTCAGTATTAAATTGTTTCTTGTTCTGTTGGGGGGCTTTTGTTAGTTGTTTTTAACTTTAAGATTAGAGTTGCAACCCTAGAGTTCAGATTTTTTTCAATTGCCAATTCAGCAATTGAATATATTAATTGTAAAATTCAAATAATTTTAACCATGGTTAGCCAGTGGCCCTTTTGACAATGACTAGAAGGCAGATTTTTATTTCAAAATGTAAGATCTCTTCAGAGAGCGAACTCCCCTCCAATTTAGTTCACAGTTTGGTGGGACGCACCAGCGAATAAGCTCTTAAGTTCTTTAGACTTCTGGAAGTCCGTCCCCTCCCTTCATTGCTTCCAGTGTGTTCCGCTTCAGATAATGCTACCAGCATGTCTGCGGCGAATGGTTTGTGAGCCCACTTACATTCGGTGTTTGTGAGCAAACTATTTTACTTTAATATTTTCCATGTATTTTTTATTATGCTCTCAATCTGCTCACTTTTTCCCCCCCCAATCATTTTATTGGGGGCGTTTACAGCCCTTATAACATTCCATACATCATTTGTATCAAGCATATTTATTTGTACATATGTTTCCATCATTTTCTAAGCATTTTCTTTCTATTTGAGACCTTGGTATTACCTCCTCTTTTTACTCTGCCTACTCCCCTCCAGCCCTGAGAACCCCTTGATAAATTATAAATCATTATTGTTTTCATATCTTACACTGACCACTGTCTCCCTTCACCCATGTTTCTGTTGTTGGTCTCCCCAGGAGAATGGGGGAAGGGGGTTCTGTTCTCATTTTATGTAGGAATTTGAAAAAAGTTAAAAGCTATTGCCATTGCAGTCTTTTTAAATTTATGTTTTATTTCAAAATGAATTTAATTTCTAGATAGCTAAACAAATGGTAGTAAAATGAAGTTATCTTTATGAATTTTGTGGGGGGGTTGTATATTGGATTCAGATAATTGGATCTGAACAAGCTGTCTTTGCAAATTGAGCTTTATGTTCTAGAGCATTTCAATTGACATCTCCATTAATTAAGTATTTTTATATTTCATATAATCATTAGCTATATTCTCTGTATTTTTAAAGAATTATTTCATGTGTCATATTCTGAAAGGCATGAAATTTCTTATTGTTTTTATTCAGTATAGTTATTAAATATTATTTCACTGAATATGTTTATAACTATCATTTTCTCGATTGATTCTACCTTTTATTATTATGAGACAGTTAAGTAGCTTTTATCTCTCTTGTTTATTTCTTCTCCCCCACCCTCAACTTTCTATTTTTTTTTTTTTAATTTATTTTTGGGGGAAAAAAAGATTCATCTTATATGAGAGAATATTTGGAGCCCTAGTGGCTTGAAACCACCAGCTACTCCTGGAGAAAAAGGCGAGGCTTTCCACTCCCTTAAAGGGTTGCAGTCTCTGAGACTCAACAGTTCTACCCTGCCCTGTAGGCTTGGCATGCATCAGAATCCACTCTGTAGCAGCGAGCGAGAGGGGAAATTACAATATTTTGTTGTGTTTTAATGTGTTTAAGAGACAGCTGTCTCTTATAAGATTTTAGCCATTCTCTTTTATTATACCTTCTGTTGTATGTGGCTGTATGTGTTCTTTTTAAAGTCAAGGGGGTAATTATGTTTTCATAGTGATTTGATCATTTCTGTTAATATTTCTGTTAATATAATGTTATAAGGTTATATTTGTTAAGTACATGGCAGACCAAAAATCATTCCTTATCCTTAAGCCATATTTCATGATTTTATCACTTAACCATGGCAACCAACTTTTAATAATTCTGTTTTAGAGGTAATTAAACAGAAAAGACTTGGAATTATCAGCTAGTGATAAAACCAGCATTCAATGCCAGGGCAACTGTGGTTTACAGTTCTCTTCGGTTTATGGTAGCCCAACTTGAAAACCCTTTTCAAAATTGATGCATACTTTGAATTTATATAAAATTTATTCTCTTAATTCTGGAAGAAACAAACTTAAGTTTTGCAACCTTTTTACTTTCGGATTATGAGTTTAAAGTAAAAGTCATCATATTTAAAGGATGCTACATCGTGTAAATGTGATGGAGTGCTTACTGTCCTTGCCCTGCAGCTTGCTGTTCACTGAAGGTTTGTATGATTTGAGACGCACAGTTAGTGCGCACGGAGCCTGCCCTGGTGGTGCTGTGTCTCCTCTGCTAAATGGCCTCTGGGAACCCTATGGGTCCCCCTGAGTTAGAATAGACTTAAGAGCAGTGGGTTTGGGTTTTTGGTTATACATATATATGCTTGTTTACATACATACATACATATGAAGGAGCTTCAACAAGTTCATGGGAAAATTTCGTTACCTTATAATTCCATTTTTCCATGAACTTTTCTGAGGCCCTTTCATACCTGTGCAAGTCTAAAATGTTCTCACATTGTAATTTGTATTAAAATAGCAATAACTTTCTTCTTTCTTTCTTTTTTTAACCTAGATAAGTCCCAAAAGTGATGTTTGGTCTCTAGGGTGCATTCTGTATTATATGACGTATGGGAAAACACCATTCCAGCACATAATTAATCAGATTTCTAAATTACATGCCATAATTGACCCTAATCATGAAATTGCATTTCCTGATATTCCAGAGAAAGATCTTCAAAATGTGTTAAAGGTGATGCTTTAATATATAGATACACTATTTAGTATACATATGTTTAATATAACTAATAGATTAAAAGAGATGATAAAATGGTTGAAATCTAATAACTGACTTAGATAGAGCTATAACTAGTCTGATGGAAGGACTTGTTTACTTGATTAGTTTGTTAAAGTATCCTTAACACCTCAGTGCATGGGGATTTTGCAAGAGTGATTTAGTGGAAATAACTTTATCATTGCCGTATAAGTAAAAATAGCTAGAAAGCAACTTCTCTAATATGGTACAAACTGGAAAAATACTGTATAATTATCATGTAAGTAAACCTAATTTATCTTAAAACTGATCTTTATTTTTATAGTGTTGTTTAATAAGGGACCCTAAGCAGAGGATATCCATTCCTGAACTTTTGGCGCATCCATATGTTCAAATTCAAACTGATCCAGGTACTTCTTTTTCTTAAGTACTAGAGTACTGATCTAATATAAACAGCCTCTTACAGTGTCAAAAGCAGAATATAAATTGTCTAATTTTATCCAGCCTGCCTTCTCCTTTAAAAGAAATCCTGTTATGTTCATCAAGTGATAAGGTAAATAAAAGGAGCCTTGGTTGCTTAGTGGGTTATGCATTGGGCTACTAACCCCTCAGCCAGTAGTTCAAACCACCAGTGGGAGAAGGATGAAGCTTTCAACTTCCATAAAGATGTATAGTGTCTGAAACCACAGGGTACTTCTCCTCTGTCCCATAGGGTCACTTTGAGTCAGCATTGACACGATGGCAGTGAGTAAGACAGTCAATAAAATTACCTTTCTTTACATGCTGGCATTTATTTTTACTTGCTCTAGTGATCAATTATAGAATACCAACTACTGTGTTGTTTATCAGAATGTGCAATTATGCATATACATGTAACCTTAGAATTTTCTTATTGGTACCAGTGTGCTATTTGTTAACATTTATTTTCTAGGTAACCAGGTGGGTAAGGGAACTACTGAAGAAATGAAATATGTATTAGAACAACTTGTTGGTCTGAATTCTCCTAATTCCATTTTGAAAACTGCTAGAGTAAGTGTGCTTATTCTGTATCTTCATTAATTCTGTTTCATATCATTTACTGAATTGGCTACTCTTAAAGAAATAGGCAATCGAAAGAAAAGTTGCTTCATCTGAGATACTGTGAATTATGTTTCTACATTTAATACTCAACATGCTTGCTTCTTAGCAAAGAGATTTACTTGATTCATAATCTTATTGTGTAACCAGCACAGTTCCAACTGAATTGTAACAAAGTATATTCGGAAATTGTTATCTATCTCAACTGGAATAAATTCTATAAAGAAATGTCTGCTAAAGCTACTCTTAGTATATCTTTTGGATTCATTCCTTCTATTCAGTTTTTTCCTTTAAGAAATCACAATGCTTGTTGCATGTAATGACTTCTGTGGAGGCAAATAGCAATTAATATATTTCAAAAGAAGCCTTTCAGCTTGGCGTGCTTATTTATATTTATACCAAATTTGTGAACTTGGACAGACTTTTCAGCCTTTGCAAGCTTCTGAATGTCTCTGGGACCTCTTTCCTGTCGTAGTAAAATTCAAAGAAGAGACCTAGATCTCCTTTTAAGTCCATGAAATCCTATATAAAATTCATTATTAGATTTGCATTAATATAAGAAGAAAAAAATTCCTTAAATTTTCTCAAGTGCTAAGAGATAAATCAATGGTTTTAGGAGTTAAAATTGTGTATTTGTTTCATGAATTTTCTCTATGTTGAACATATTCATGTTTTAAATACCAATGTATTTTTTAAATCCTTTATAAATAAAATTCAGGTGGATTATTACCTTTGTGGGCAAAGATGTTTGTCTTCTTTATAAATTAGTTGTGGGCTGGGACTTAGCTCTTTTTCCATTGCAAAGATAATAAAGTACTTAATTTATACTTACATAACAATCTATATTGTATTTACATTTAAATATTCATTAGTTTAAATATTATCTGAAAGTCTGTATGAAGGTTCTTAGTATGCTGTACACTATAGGAATTAAGATACAGTAAACTTTATTTAATAAAAGGAATAGATGTATTTGCTAATCACCATATTAAATGTGTCCTAAAAAGGCCTAGGTAGGTGTTTTAAATAATCTTACACCTCAGTTCCAATTATAACAATGAGAGACATAGAAATGTTTTATGCTTCAAATAGTATAGTTCTAGTCTTTACTAATTTGATAACACTGAACTTTTAAAATTACAGAAAAAAATTGTGTGTTTTCATTTCAGACTTTATATGAACAATACAGTAGTGGTGAAAGTCATGATTCTTCATCATCCAATCCTTTTGAAAAAAAATGATTTGCAGCCACTCATAGACTATCAGATGACACCTGGAGATATATTGCACTACTGGACTCTTGGTTTTCTTTGGAAATCTACCTTTGAAGACTACTTTTCGCTAAAATATCACCAGCAGAAAAATTAAGTAGATTGTCCTCAAAAGAAGACTGTAAAAATACAACCATTAATGCTACTGTACATATTATATTATAAAATTGTTCTTCTGTTTTATGCTTTCCTGTAAATCTGGTCTATTTGATGACATTTTACATTTGCAGTAGAGGACAGGCAAAATAAATTCTTCAGAATATGTAAATAAAGCTTTGTAGCATAAAATAACCACTGAAATTTCAAATTTGTAAGATCATTTGTAAAGGCAAATGTATTGGCATTGGAGTAACATTCTTAATAAAAACTGGGTAGTGGGAAGGAACAATAAACCTTTGTAATCAACTATAGAAAAGAACATTACAATGGGTGTAGTTCTAAAATAGGTTTCTCATTTGTTTTATGGTACTATTAAAAAACTAGTTTTAGGACTGCATGTGGCTCTTTAAATTCACCCTTTGACATGATTGATTGCTTTTGTTTTGAAAGTATCATGCAGGATTTTGTGGTAGAAGTGTATAGGATATACCCTCCGGATAATTTACTTGATAATGGTAAATTACAAATGTGACTTTAGAATCTCATTACAGAATTTCATGTGTTAGTTAAAGGTAACAAACACCATATGGTCTTGTTTCCCCTAAATTTTAGCCTAGTTTCTTGTTTTCAGGGCTACTGGTTTTGAGTCAGTGTTGAACATTATAGTACATAACTCACCTGTTCAAGTTAAAGTTGTGCTGTTATCCTACTCATGAGAGGACATGGCACAAATCCACACTGGAAGTTAAACTTTTTTTTTAAATCATTTTATTAGGGGCTCATGCAACTCTTATCACAATCCATACATCCATTCATATGTCAAGCACATTTGTTGCCATCATTCTCAAAACATTTTCTTCTTTCTATTTGAGCCCTTGGTATCAGCTCTTCATGGGTGAAGGGAGACATCAGACAGTGTAAGACATGAAAAAATAATTTATAAATTATCAAGAGTTCGTGGGGGAGGGAGGGTAAGTTAAACTTTTATCCCACAATTGCTCTTGGGAAATGCTTTATTTATTTTCATTTTGAAAATTATCATGAAATGTATATAACCCCCCCCCCCCTTTTTTGGATGCTTGTCATGTTAGTAGCTTAAAACTTTCGTATAAGAAAACATTCAAAAGGTATATGGAGGGATTTTAAAAAGATATGTGAGGGTTGCGTTTTGTTTTGTTTTAATGTAATGGGGAAATTACATTATCTTTTAATTCTGTTATTCCACACACTTTTTGAAGCCTCTGTATTTGTCACCTCAAAGTAGTACTTGTAGCCTAGGGTAAATAATTCAATTTGTAAGTCTCGCTCTGGAAATTATTTTCTATAAAATTAAGCAACTGATTTCACACATTTCCTGGAACATCTTACCCAGATTAAACCAGCGATTGTTATTTTCTCCAAAATAAAAATGCATGTTTGAATATTAAAAAGCAGTTAAATAGTGTGGTTAGATGGAGGGAACACTGGAAAGGACTCAACTTCAACCTTGGACTTTTCTCTGACAAACTTGTGTAACTTTGCAAGCTACTGAGTATCTCTGCGACCTCTTTTCCGGTAGTGGTAAAATTCAAGATTTCAGTCTTATGAAATCCGATATAAAATTTTAGATGTGCTATCGTTACTAACAGAACCAACCAACTAAGGCACTGCCATCAAGCAGATTCCCACTCATCGTAACCCTATAGCTACCCTATCAAAAAGGCCCAAACTTACTCCTATCCGGTCGAGTGCAATTCGCAGCAGCCTTCTAAATAGAGCTGAGACAAACTCGTTATGGGAGTAGAAAGTTCCCGCAGAGCAGCTGGTGATTGCAAACTGCTGACCTTGTTAGCAGCCCAACATGTAACCACTACATCACGGTTTTTGCCCCTTTTGGGCCGGGTTAAAAGGCCCCTGTGGGTTTCTGAAGCGGTGAAACCATAGGAGCCAAAAGCCTCATTTTCCTCCCACAGGAAATGGAGGGTTCAAGCAGTTTCCCAGCCCGTTCATTATCCACGAGGCCACCCAGGCTGGGATCCCCGGGAAGAAATCCTAGAGGAGTATAGAAGGAGGTCTACTTAGCTCTCAAATGAAGGTAGGTCCTATGCCCGGTGTAGTTCCTACCCTTTCTAAATTGACTGCTATTTTCCATCTCAGAACAAAAAACTACAAATGCTTTAGTACTCTCACATTTTCACTTCCAGTTCAGTTCACTAGTTGAATGCAGCTGTGATCAAAGTGATAGGGTGTGTGAAACTAAGTAAGAATGGACCGCTCTGCACTATTTTAGTACATCTAGATTTTTAAAATCTTCAGTGGGTTGAACTTACCTGACCGTCCGCCAGAAATTTGGTCAAGTGCTTAAAATACTATAGGGAGTAAATTCAGTCTATTTTCCAGAAGCTTTCTGCTTACTGGGAGAGAACTTGCCATTATTACTCATTCCCTTGGAATCTCATGACTTAGACCATATACTTAAGCATATACTTCCCCTATCTGGAGTTAGTCCCTCTCCAGCTCAAGAAACAATCGGTTATTTACTTCTTCACTTGGATGTCTGATAAACCAATAAAAGCCAGTTGCTCTTGATTCTGATTCATGGTGACACCATGTCTTTCAGAGAACTGCTGTGCTCCATTGAGTTTTCAAGATGGCTGTGTCCTTTGGAAGTACATCACCAGAACTTTCTTCCAAGGCACCTCTGATTGCATTCGAATTACCAACCTTTTGTTTATAACGATGCAAACTTTTGCTGCATCACCTAGGGCTTGAATATCTGATCAACATCTTAATGTTTGTAAAATAAAACTGACTCCAGGTCAAAACCCTTCATAATCTTCATTACGTAACCTTGAATCTTCCCGTTACAGCTGATGGCAATTTCATCATTTAGGTTGTTATTAGGTGCCATGAAATCAACTTGGCAACCCTGTGTACAAAAGAACAAAACACTGTCCGGTCTTTGCCATTCTTACAATTGTAATGTATGAGCTCATTGTCGCAGCCACTGTATCAATCAATGTTGTCAAAGATACTCATTCCTCTTTCTTGCTGCCCCCTATTTACCCAGCATGATACCCTCTAGTGACTGGGCCCTCCTGCAACATCTCCACAGTATGTGCGATAAAGTCTTGCCATTCTTTGGTCTCTAAGGAGCATTTTAGCTATATGTCTTCCAAGACAGATTTGTTTGTTCTTTCACTACTCTTTATTAGTAACATAACTCAAATGCATCAATTCTTCAGTCTTCCTTATTCAATATTCAACTTTTACATACTTATGAAGCTATTAAAAATATGGATTGTGTCAGGTGTCCCTTAGTCCTCAAAGTAACATCTTTGCTCTAACAAGGTCTTGTACAGCACATTTACCCAATGTGTCGTATGATCTCTTGACTGCTGCTTCCATAAACATTGATTGTGCAATCGAAGCAAGACGAAAATCTTGACAACTTCCACTTTTTTCCGTTTACCATGAGGCTACATCCTGGTCCAGTTGTGAGGATTTTTGTTTTCTTTACGTTGAGTTACATGTAATCCAGACTGCTGCAATCATTGATCTTCATCCACAAGTGCGTCAAATCCTCCCTTTCAGCAAGCAAGGTTACGTCACCTGCATATCACAGGTTGTTAGTAAGTTCCTCCGATCCTGATGCCCCCCCCCTTTTAATTAATTTTGGGGGTGTTTTAAATGATTTTGACTCAAGATCTGGAATCTCAGCTTCTGGAAGAAGCACTTGTTTTTGCCTGTCTTGTACCTCTCCTCAAATTTGACCTTGGCCTTCAGATGGACCTTGCGTATAAGAGCAGGGTCTCTGAAGACATCCTTGTTGATGATAGTTTTGTCCAAGGGGATGTCTACGGAGTACCTCATGGGCATGAGGTGATTATAGTTATACATCTTCACAAAAGATTTGATCTTTGACCTCTTGACAGTTTTCTTCTTGCCCATGGCAGGGATAGCCATGGGATAGCAGTTGATTCCAGCCACCAGGGCGGGGCTGTAGGGGTGGTGTGAGATGCCATCATCTTATGTTCTTTACGATGATGGCTTTGCGTCCTGAATAGCGTTCCGCCAGGACCAGCACTACCTTCCTTGGTTGCATGAACTTTCCCATTTCGACAACAGGCCCTCAGGCCGACAACAGAAAGGAAGAAACCCACATTTTTCATTTAATCCAGCTTCTCTGATTAAATATTTGCTCAACATACAGATTGAATTAGTATGGAGAGAATGCAACCTTGATGCACACTTTGATTTTAAACAACGCAGTATAACCATGTTCTGTGCACAACTGCCTCTTGATCCATGTACAACTTCAACATGAGCACAATATACTGTTCTTGGATTCCCATGCTTAAAGTCTATCCATCGTATGTTGTGATCCACACAATCAAATGCATTAGCCTAGTCAATAAAACACAAGCATGCTGGCATTCTCTGCTTTCAGCCAAGATTCATCTGGTCCTCTTCTGAATCTGGCCTGAACCTCTGGCAACTCCCTGTCAATGTATTGCTGCAACCTTTTTTGGATGATCTTCAACCAAATTTTAGTTGCATGTGATATTAATTACATTGTTCTATAATGTGAGCATTTTTGTTGGGTCACTGTTGTTTGGAATGGGTACAAAGAGGGATCTCCTGCAGTCGATTGGTCAAGTAGCTGTCGTCCCAATTTCCTCACCTAATGTGTGTTGCTAGTGCTTCACTAGTTTGTTGAAACATGTCAATGGGTGTTCCATCAATTCCCGCAGCTTTGGTTTTGACTAGCGCTTTCAGTGCAGTTTCAACTTCCTTCAGTGCATTGATTTTTGCTCAAATCCTACCTCTGAATATGGTTGCGTGTCAACTGCTTTTTGGTACAGTGACTGTATTCGTTCAATGATTCCCGCATCATTCAATATTTTACCCATGGAGTCTTTCAATACTGCAATCCAAGGCTTGAATTTTTCTTGCATTCTTTCAGTTTAACATACAGTGCGCTTCCTTTTTGTTTTCCTTTGCCCAATTCATTATAGTATTTTTCTTCTCCAGATAACCTTTGAAAAATGCTGTTCAGCTCTTTGGCATCCTCATTACTTCCATGCGCCTTAGCTACTGTACAATTAAGAAGTTTCAGAGTTTCTTCTGGCACCCACACTAATCTTTTCTTTCTTTCCTGTCCTTTTAATGACCTTCTGGTTTTCGTCATGTATAATGTTCGTGATGGCATTCTAC